TCTCTCCTATGACTCTAACAGAGTCCTTAAATGCCACACGTTGCGGCAGTGGAATGCTCTTCCTTGGCGTGACTCTGATCCTCGAGCCATGATAGGTTCGTGGTGGAACATCGGGTGCTGGCTCCGATGGGGGTAGGAAGGATGCTTGTGGAGAAGCAGATGCTCCACTGGTCGCAATGTCCTGCTCATATGGGTCTATCTCTTCATTATGGGCTAATTTTATTCTAGAGTGGCCAACCACGTAACCGGATTCATCGACTGAGTATTCACTAGAATCGGATGACGCCATAGTTGTCTGCGACATTAATAACCTTAATTACTAAATACGCCATCTATAAATACTTAGAGTTATAGCCAAAGCTTCTAAACAAGGCTAAGAGTGGAAATCAAACTAGACTCTCAAATATAAAGTCCCTAATTGTACTACCAGAGCCTCTGGTTCCATGACCAGAGCCTCTGGTCTCATGACCAGAGCATTTGGTTCAATTAAAATCCTTAGGAAAGGATTTCTCATCCATCGATCCTCTTGCAAACCAATGAAATTCTATTCTATCAATCGCTGGTTCAACATCCATCCTCTTAGGAAAGGATTTCTCGTCCATCGATCCTCTGGTTCCTCATAATGCACTTACCAGAGCTTCTGGTTACAAAACTAGAGCCTCTGGTTCCTCATAATGCTTTTACCAGAGCTTCTAGTTACAAGACCAGAGCCTCTGGTTCAACTTTCATACTTTGAAAAGCACTAAGTAACCTATCCATCGATCTCTGGTCTCCTTCTCATCAATGCTTCTGGTGCATCCATGAACTCAAGCAAATTTATGGAGTTCCTATTCCTTTGCCTCTAGTCCTTCTAACTAGAGCTTCTAGTACCACATACACACTTAAAATTTTTATAGAATTTCTATCCCATCGCCTCCGGTTCTTCTAACCATAGCTTTTGGTCCAACATGGACACTTAACAAAATAAGGGTTTTTCTACCCATCATCTCTGGTCCTTCTAGGGCAATGGATATTCATAGAGAGTATAACACATAAAATCATGCTTTTCATATCAATTTCTTTACGGAAGCATATCTCTAGTAAAACCGATTAAGTTCTTTTTATTATATGTAAGTTAAACACAGGTGATCAGGCTTTGTTTAATCGACATATAATAATGTGGCCCGCTTTAAAATCATATAATTCCAGATTTCTTAAAAATCCAATTTGAATTTTTTTGGTTATAGTCGATGGTTTTTAAGGAAAACCAGCATTCTCTATAACTGAAGCTCTGATACCAAATCTGTCACACCCCGCTAAAGCGGAAACACGAGATGTAACAGGCAAGCGAGTCACAACAACAATTAATAAATAACACTTTTCAATTTTTCAAAATAAAATGAGTTTAACATCATAACCAAATTTTTGACAAATACTTCTTTTACAAAAGCTTCCATTGCGAACTTAATCAGTTTTTCCACATGTATGCTCCCAAAATACTTCATTTCTTACTTGTTACCTGAAAAACATGGAACAAAAATCGAGTCAACTACAAAGAGTTGGTGAGTTCACGGGTTTTCACATGCATAAAATAATTTAATGCATAAACCAAATATTTGCAAACATATGTGAATCTTTTGCACTTAATAAATGTAAATCTTTCACGATGTAAAAACTTGAGACGCTACTGAGCCTTACCTGACCAACTTGCCCCATTATTTTACGAACGACCATAAGTAGCCCGTACACTTACTTAGGTCCCACAGTTCGTAGATGTACTAATTCAGCGGTGGTCCAAATTCCGCATGATTAGACAAGAAAACATAGGTAGAGTGCACCCCTTTTTGGGTGGGACTGTCAACACAATAGCGGCTATCCACAATACCACGGCCCAGGGACGTGCCCGAGTTAACAAGTAGCGTTTACGGACGGGGACTTATTTGGAAAATATACTCCCAAGCACATCAATTTAGCATTTATTTCAAAGTGCAATAACAGTCAATATTTAATGACATAATAAACTTGACTAAGCAGTTCTTTAGTCCATTGGTTATAAACAAAGCTTGACTAAGCAGTTCTTTAGTCCAAAGGTTTCAAACAAGTAATAGTTTGCTTAATCTCATGCTTTTCCCCCAAAACAATAATCAAAGCATTAAAAGTAGGGCCGTGAGAACTCACAGGTTTGATAATGAATATCCAAAAAATGAAGGTTGAAGCTTTCAACGACTGCCCTGACTTCCTAAATAAACAAACATCCCACATTCAGATCTCCTATGAGCTCTAGACGAAAATAGAGTCAAGTTGCACCCTATGTAATGCCATCAGATTTTAGGAAATAAAGTTGATATTTTATTAATAAACTAATAACAGTCCAAAACAAAAGAAATCAAAATCTTTCTCAAAAGCTGATTTTTGGACACATTATAAATTCTGTTCCAAATATTTTTGGGTTCCTCGAAACTCTAAAAATAGGAACCTTCCAAAAGTCATTTTATGTCCAACTTGTCACATTATTTACAATAATGACATCGGCCGACTAATCCAATTATCAAGAAATTTTAGTGGGTTCTAAATTCCTCATCATTACTCTTTAACCTTGAGTTACACAGCCCCCGAAACAGATTGCATGCTCACTGAGTGGCAGTCATTTGGGGCCGAACTCATCATTTTCCAAAGGTAATCATCATTTTCAAGCTAGCAAAATAAATTTAAATCTCCAGAGAAGAATTTTTCTCGATTCCATTGAGTTTTCGAAGAAAATAGGATAGATTAAAGATGCATGCAAGATTTAACACTTCAAAACATAGCTTTACATGCTTAAACTTCACATGCAATGGGTTTCCCTTCCCTACTTTGGAGTTCAAGGGACATGGATCATAGATTATTATCCTCCTTGAAAACATTTTCATGTTTTCGATGAATAATCTCCCCTCTTTGGTCTCCAGAAAAATTCTACTGTATGGCCGAGATGTGGAAGAAAGAAGATACAGTCTCATGATATTTTACAAAAATAAAATAACTTGAATCGTACCTCTTTCTTATGTTCTTGAAGGATCTTCAAGATTGAGAGAGAGAAAGTTTCTAAAGACTTGCTTGAAGGTAGATTCGGCTGGAGAGTGATTGAACTTAGAGAGAGTTTAGAGAGAGATGAACAATTTCAGGTTGGTAATAAAGAAAATGAGAGTTTTCAAAAGATGAGGGGTATTTATACAAGGATTTTAATGAAATAAATGGGTTGGTCTCTAAAGGCCCAAACTAAATAAAACTTCTATTTTTCTTGATAAGAATAAGCCCACTAAAATATTTACCCAACATAAATAAAATGACATTAATAAACCCAAAACTCCATCTTTTGATAAATCAAGCGGACATTCAAATGAGACTTTTGTCTTTTAATTTTTAAAAGTTTATAATATCAACTTTGTTTTATTTGGAACGTTTCTAAAATATTTGGCATTACATTAGTTAACTTTATCACTTGCCTGCTGAGGCGGATCTTCCAAGCTAAGAATTATAGGTATTAAGTCAGATGTACTCTAACCACCATGACTAGATCCTAATAAATTTATAATTCTAAATATAGGATTTATAATAAAATGCTAACCTGAAACTCCGAAATTACAGAATGTCACATTATTACGTATAAGTTGTACACTGAAAGAAAAGACATAGAAAAATAAGACTTACAATGAAAGATAAAATTTACTAGACATAAATTTATAACTAATCTAAGTCATTGAAGTTGATGTAACCAGGTACTTCTTCTCCAAGCATCTTTCGATGTAGAAATTCTTTTCTGATCCTCCGGTTTATCATTTCACCATAAACATAATTGTCCAAGCAAAATATCTTAGATAATCAAGATGCTCTATAGGACAAAGATTAATCTCAGACACTCTCTGAAAGTTATGTTCGCCTTGATAGTCAAGGAATATAAATACAAACTCAAGCTTTATATGCACTGTGTTGGGTATGTAAGGGCCCTTCGCTGACAAAGAGAGGTTCAACATAGAGATGTCTGGCTTCTTCGAATCCTTTAGGACTTCATCCAGGGAGAACTTTGTTTCATGTTCGTTCCTCAGAGTTGGTTCATCGTTAGGATCTAAAGGTTTTCTTTTTCCACCTTTCTTCAATGTCGGCTTAGTAGGTACATCAACAAATTTGGACATCTTCTTGATCAGCTCGATGAGGATGTCTTCAATTATTGGCTTGTGCCTTGACTTTGACCGCTGAATGGCTTGGCAGATTTCCAACCATTCATTGTAGCCGTGTTGTCCAAGGTAGGAAGAATACTCTGTGACAACTTCAAGGTTGTCTCTAGTGATTAGCATGGAGATGAGAAGTCCACCATCTTTCATTCGTCCATTGATTATGACATTTGAGATATGGTGAGGAATTATTCTCTTATTTAGACGATTTTGCCACCATTTTCTGTCTCGATCGTTTAGCTTCATTGTCTTTTCACGTTCAGCTTCTGCAATTGAAAGCAACTTAACTTGCGCCTTGACAACGTTCACCATCTTTTTAGACGATTTCTTTAGAAGAACTTGAGCAACAAGAGATTTAGCCAACTTTAGGTTGTCCTCAGTCTGTTGTCATTGAAGATTGAGTTCTTCCTCAACCTTGAGTGCTTCGAGTCTTTCAGCTTCAGTAAGGAAGTCAAACTCACCACAATTAGAGGTATGGAGAGGAATTATTACTCTTGTTTGGTCGAGTGACTCCTTAAGCTGAGTCATCTGCTGGTCGCTAGGAACACTGGAGGTTGGCTTTTCAGGTACCCATTCCTCTAGTTGACCACATGTAGTACAAGGGATAGAAGAAGAGAGTTGACAAAAGGAAGTGACTATTGCAAACGTAGAGGATTCAGTATCTTGAGGCATGACATGTTTGAAGAGAATTTTGAGATTTCCTTCTTCAGCAACACCTTTGTCTTTTGAGCTGGTGTTCTGGTTCTTTATGGAAGTCTCCTTCTCTTTTTCTTTCTCTTTCTCCCCATGGGATGAAGAATCCTTGAGAGAGACTATTTTCAGAGTGCTGGCAGGTTTGTGGTATTGAATCGTGAAGTCGTCATCATCGTCGTCATCATCATCACCACCACCGAGATCCTTTCCAGCGTTGGGAAGTGATGGAGAATCATCGTCATCTTTGTCTTCATCATATTTACCTTCACCTTTCTCATCACCATCATCAGCTGCAGGGGTGATAGGAAGGTCCTCATCATGAGCTTCAGCATCAGCTCTGACGATGTCATCAACAACCTCAGCTTCAGCTTCAGCTTCAGCTTCATGGGTAGTGATGGCATCGTCAACAACCTTTAGTTTTTTGATCATCAGCTTTAGCTTTAGTTGTAGGGACAACATCAACAACAATAAAGTCTTTCTCTCCTTCTTTGTCATCAACATGACTAGAGAAGAGGTTGTCAAAACTCAGTGCTATTATGTTCATTCGCTGTCAAACACGCTCAGCGATCTAGCTTGAAAAAGACCGACTTTGAGAGCCTGATCTAGCGAGAGGCGATCCATTACTGTAAAGGAGGGTGTAGAAACTGGTACTGGACGTTGAAGAAGCTCCAGTATCTTCTGCAACAACTCACCATTCTTGGCAAGCTGAGCATTCACTTCAGTGGATTTGGTATTGAGAGCAAAGATTGCCTCTGTGTTGGTGCGTACAACGGCTTGCACCGCAGAAAGTTGTTCCTTCACATCATTGACGTCAGATTTGACAGCTGAGAGGTCAGAGGAAACATCATCCCTAAGAGGCATGCCTTTATGGACTTTATCCATTTTGATTAAGACAATCTCTACGGCCGAGAGTATCAACTTCACGTCATCAGTCGTGTCATATTCTTCTTCCATGGCTGGCATTCCTTCATCGCAAGGACCTGAAAAAGAAGATGGTTGAGCATAAGATAGCTCAGAGTTAGAAGAAATGAAAGGGTAAGTTGGAATATTACCTGAGGGTTCATCAACATCATTTGAAGAATTGATGCTGGCTCTCTCTAGGTGGCCTTCGAGAGGATAGGCTTCCATTGACTGAGGTGGTTCAAAAGAAGCAACCTCAGGTCCTGTGGTGGGTGCTTCATCATCAGCGAGGACAATCACTGATGATTCAGGATCGTGTGTCGTGACCAAAGAAGGAAGAGAGGAGAAGATGGCTGAGAATGGTGGAAGTGGGTGTTCAGCAATGGCTATGCTGATATTCAGACCTTCAGTGATTTGGGTCACTGAGGCGGTTGGGATAGGAGCCACATGTATGACAGTGACTGCAGAAATCACTAAAGAGATTGGAAGAAATAAAGCTAAAGGTGCGTCGGGGTTAAGGCTGGTTTCAATTGTTGGAACCTTTTGAGAGGTAACATCCAGAGATGTGGTTATCCTCTTTTTGGCTTTCTTGGCCCTCGATGGAGAACCAAGAGTGGTTTGTGATGATCTTTTGGAAGAGAGGGATGTGGTGGTTGGGATAGAATTTGGGGGGTTTTTCTTAGTCTTTACCACCTGAGCAAGGGAGGAAGGACATACCGGCACAGTTGGAGAACATGAAGAAGTATATGCAGGCACAGTCACAAGGGAGGAGAGTGCAACGTCTTCAGCTTCCAGCTTATGATCCAAGATTTTGGATCCAAGCTTGTAGATGGGCAGGTTGCCTTCAATGGAGTACTTGTTGCTAAATATTTTAGCAAACACCATGGATAAGAACCTCGTGTAGGGTACTACCTTCTCCCTCTGGCGCTTGTTCAGCTTCAGCCCCAGATCTTCAAAGATCACGTCAGCAGAGTTGATTGGCCTTTGGCGAATGACAGAGACGCCAATGTTCAAAGCAAATCTAAACGCTTGATCTTTTCCACCAGTTTTGCCTCCCATACATTGGATGAAATGGGTAAACAAAAACTACCATACTGCAGACATGTGGTTCTTCTCAAATTTTGAAAGCAACTTGAAGAGATCGTTGGAATCCTTCTTTATTAGCTAGGCGTAGCCAATATCATCCAAGTAGGAGATGATATCTTCAGTGGAAGTTTCACTAGCATAGGGACACTTTGGTAGATGGAGAGCGGTCCTTAGTATGGCGACGCCGAAAGTGACAAACATCCTGTTAACGGTGAAGGAGATTTTCTCTACCTATTTACCAGTCTTGTCAGTATTGTGAACTACTTCAGTAGTAAGGCAGAATTACTGAAGAACTTCCTTCACCATGATAGATTCATGGGAGATTGCGAAGGAGATAGGAGAGTTCTTGAGGAATGTAGCAGCTTTCTCGTAATAGAATTTGTTGGTCGGAATGTCTAACAACGCCACATGATTATTGGGTTTGTCTTAATCGTCAATCGAGAAGTTCACGTTCTTGGCAGACATTTTTAAATAACAAATCTGTTAGAAATCCATGATATAGTTGTGAGCTATTAAGTTTTGAAACAATAAAACTTCTTTTGAAAAATACTTAAGGAAAATATTAGGGTTTTTCAAGAAGAGTAAGTTTATAGAAACTTTAGATTATAACCATGTAAGAGAATGTGTTAATAATCTTTATGTTGGTCATTTAAGAGAACAAGATTTTAAGTAACCTAACATTAGTTTATTAGAAAACGAACATATCAAACAAAAAGAAGAGTTATCAACCTATGAAACTTAGAAGAAGAAGGAGAACCTGTGAGACTTAGAAGAAGAAGGAGAAAGAGAATATAAAATAGACGGTCTTTCAATAGTTGGAAGGCTTTACTCTGGTCTTTTCCTCATTCATACTTAACACCTTTTCTTGTTGACTTAGTCAATGGTGCAATAATAATTGAGAAGTGTTGAATGAATTTCTCATAATATCTTGCCAAACCCAAGAAACTACGAATCTCGGTAGGGGTTCCGGTACCTCCCATTTTTCAATAGCCTCGATTTTTTAGGATCTACTTTTACCCCTGCCTCAGAAACAACATGACCTAAGAATGGAACTTCCCTCGACTAGAACTCACACTTGGACAACTTGCCATATAATTTCTATTTCTTCAGAAGTTTGAAAATTAAACAGAGATGTCCGGCATGCTTCGCTTTGGATCTTGAGTATATAAGAATATCGTCAATAAATACCATAACAAAATTATCAAGATATTCATTACATACCCGGTTCATTAAATCCATCAATGCCGTTGGAGCATTTGTTAGACTGAACGGCATGACCAAGAACTCATGATGTTCTATCTGGTTTGGAACTCTATTTTGGCAATGTCTTCGTCTGTTAAAATGTTTATTTGAAAAGTATAAGTAACAATCCTCTTGCTCTAGTTAAGAGGACATAGTCTAGAAAGCTATCTAGAACCACGAGCTCGGATATAGAGATGATACTCGGATACATAGATCGTTGCTAAGAGGAAAGAAGATCGAAGACTGCACCGTCAAAAACTAAGGATTTGATACAGAGCCCGACTCAAGACACAGAGTATCTACACTATACATGCAGATCCTCTAGGTCTCCTACTCCCCTTGTGCGTGAAGGTTCCACGGGCGCGTCTTGTAAGTGTTCCAGTCTTAGGCTGACATGTTTCCAATAACGGTTATTCCAATCAGACACGTGGAGGCAGATGATTCGTGGACGTGTTGACTTCTCATATTTCCCAAACTGTGGAAGATTCCTTTTCTAGAAATGTCTATAAAAAGGTAATTCCTCTAAGGATATCATTTACCAATCTTGAAAAGAAGAAGACGCGCTCCTTTTCTGTTTATAGGGATATTTTAGCACTTCTGAGAAATTAGCTAGTTGGGAGATATTTTGCACACACACATGTGCGTGTTATTAGTGTTCTTGTTTATTCTCATTAGCAATTCAAATACAACCAACTTGTTCAATACTTCAGGGATTTTTGTGTCTTGTTTATTTTTGCTTAACCTACTAGTTTCATATTATTGCATCCTTTCACTTGTTGACTTAAGCTGTGATTACTAGTGCATTGGAGGACCTGAGTTCCTACAATTGGTATCAAAGCCTTCTAACCAGTCTATTGATTAGTTGGATCTAATCCATAAAGGATATCCCCTTTTGTTTGGTTATTTTATCTTCCTGAAAGAGCTTTTAGTTCCAGATCTCAAACTTTATGTGAAAATCTACAGATCTCGTTTATTTCTGTGAAGGTAATCGTATTTGAATATTTTCTCCAAGTTTGCATTCTTCAAGTTCTATTTTCTATTCTTCGAAACTTCTAGTTTGTCTGTTTTACCCTTTTCTTGGAAGATGTCCAACCAATCATAGGACTCGATGTATAATGCTGGATCCCTCACTAAACCACCAACTCTCATTAGGGATGAATATCCCTAGTGAAAGATTCAGATGATAAACTTCTATGAAGGTCTCAACCTGGAATTGTACGAATCCATCAAACATGGATCCTATGTTCCTATGACCATTATTGCCAAGGTTTCTAGTACTGATACTATTGCTGATGTTCCTTCTATTCGTGCTCCCTAGGCTAGAAGTGACTGGGATGATGAAGACAAGCGTAGGGTTGAGATTGACCAAAAAGCCAAAAGGCTCTTGATCATTGTTACGAGAATTATATAAAATAAATTTCTCAGACTGTTAGCAAATGCAGATTAGTGTAAGTATACACTTATCAATCCACTATCGTCTTTTTCAAGTAATAAAGTGATAAAAATACCGAATATCGTCCATGGGAAAAATAAACAAAAGTTCATTTAAAAGTCTAAATAAATATATGATTTCAGATGGTGAGTTCGAAGAAATATTTTGGTGAGTTGGTTTAACACTACTGTTGTGGACAAGTAATAAAAGATAGCTTAGGGTGTAGGGATTTGTTAAGATATTGAACCGATCTTTAACTAGACATCATGCTACAACATAGTTTTATAGCATGCTGTTGGTCCCGTAAGGGTCTACAAGAAGAAAACCAGCTTGTAGAAGGGGGGGGGGGGATGAATACAAAGACAGTATTTTTCAATTTTAAAATATATATTGATAAAGAAGATCAATACATATTTTACAAGATTGTTTGCGGAAAGATAAGGTAATAAAAACCTATCTAAACAATCTTTGGTTACACACAAAGCCTTAGCAAATACAAGAAAAGAAGTTGCTATAAGAAAGATCCTTTACTTAAGCTAGAAAATGGTTGAAGTAAGAATTAGGTTAGAGAGAGAAATGCGCGCTCTCTGCATGGAGAAGAAACACTTCTATTTATACCTAGTGCATTAAATATTCATTTAATGCAATAAGGTAGGGTTAGAGAGCGTGTGAAGCGTTAAATGGAAGACTTGTCCTTTGCCACAGTGAATAGTACAAAAGCACTATTTATGAGCAGACATCCTTACCTAAAGTTGGTGGACAAAGAGTC